AAGTGTTTAGAAGAAGTTTCTTTTTCTCTGGAACTGAAATCAAGGGCAGGGAAGCTGCCTAATAACTTCTTGAGGATGACGAAATGATGCGGCATTTGAAACTCTCATGGTAGATATTGAGCTCTTTCATTGATTTGTTGACAGAGTGACCAGGGCAGCAACAGCAGAAATCTTTTCTCTCCTCTCTCCTTTAGAGTTCAGGGTTACCTGGATCGTTTCCACAGTCCCATTTTGGACTTCAGAAACTGTGTGGGTACCTACATCCCATCTGTAGCCTCGTGAGTTAAATACACAACTTTCTACCTTTGATGCTCACCTTGGGGGAGGTAACACAATATTATAATTATTCTCAGTTTTATAATCACTTTTAAAAATTAAGTCAAATGTTTAGTAATAAAAATAATGATATTCAATGTAAGCCTGAAAAGAATGAAAATAATTTCAGAGCATTTTTAACACTGAATTTTCATTGTGGGTATTTCAGCTGCTTCCCTCTTGGCGAGGCTTGTTCATTTGTTCCTCCTGCTGTGTGCTTTAAACAGTAAGACCTGGGCTGCTACTAAGTGGGAGAGTGCCACAGGTGCTGAGCAAGCCTTGTTCATCCCGCTTCCTGTAGATTAAGTCTGAATAGGTAGAAAGCCAAGATTGACACTGGAAATGTCAGGCACATAGAGCCAGGGTTAATGTGTTACTGGTGTTATGCCAGAGAACACAATTGCACACTGTTGTATTGGGTTTGCATGTCCAGATTTTGGTAGCAGAGCATGGCTACAGGGGTAACTTCTGTGAGAAGCTGCCAGAAGCTTCCCCCGTGCCCAGTGGAGGCAATGCCAGCTGTCTCTAGGATGGACCCGCTGCTCGCCAAGGCCAAGCCCAGCAGTGATGTCTCCAACGCCTCTGGGATAACATATTTAAGAAAGAAAAAAGTTAGTGCTCGGAGAAAATTGCAGTCAGAGAAGAGCGGAGTGAGAATATGTGAGAGGAACAGCTCTGCAAACACGCAGGGCAGTGCAGAAGGAGGGGCAGGAGCTGCTCCAGGTGCTGGAGCAGAGATTCCCCTGGGATTCCTTGGTGAAGCCCATGGTGAGGCAGCTCTGCCCCTGCAACCCATGGAGGGCCACAGGGGTGCAGAGATCCACCTGCAGCCCCAGGGAGGAGCCCATGCCCGAGAAGGGTGATACCTGAAGGAGGCTGTGACCCCATGGGAAGCCTGTGACACAGGGCACAAATAAAATTACTCAGAGCCCTAGGTGCAGGAGTTGCCTGAAACATGCCATATGGCTGAGTTCAGGGTCAAACTTCTGGAGACCCCAGTGCCCAATTTCCCAGAGCTGTTCTCAGTGCAGAGACTAGAACACACATCACATCACCCTCCTGCTCTTGGAGCCCTTGCCCATAGCACAGTCAGTGCCTCACTCTGGAATGTCACCTTACACTCTTCCAGACATTTACCAACAGGGAATTTCCAGTCTTGATGTGGAGACTGGTTGCCTTTCTCTTCTGCTAGCTGTAGACTTACAATGAGACATTCACATTTTAAATATGGTGCAGTGACATCAATAGTAATAATTATTGCATGCATCAAAGCTTTGGAGATTAGCCATGGATCATGCACCTAAATGGCAAATGGTTATAATAGCTCCGTACGTGAAACATCAAAGTCTGAGGAAACATTGCTCTGTTATAAAAAATACATCAGAATGATCATTCCACTCCAAGCAAAATGCAAAACTGTAGACGTGCATGGAACAAATGCAACACATTTCATACTCATTTGGGTGTTTCAAGTATGGGAAAAATTGATTCCACAGCTCCAATTACCAATCCACATCAAGTGAAGACTGTATTGAAATGACGAGATTTTGAACAATATTAGGCTTAAGTTGACTCCTCCTTGTGAAAATGTATTTGTAATTAGGGCCTAGAAAAGCAATAAGAAGTATTTGGGGTTTTAATTTTTTATATGCTCCCTGACAGAGAGAGAAGTGGCTGAGATTGCATAAAATTCTTAAACCCATGATGTTTCAAGTATCCTTTTGCTGAATTGAAATGGGTCTCTCATAGATTAAAGGAACTGCACTGTTGTTTTCTTTGCTGGGAGAAAAGTATTCCAAGCAGAGTGAAGCACAGGCTCTGTCTGCTGAGCCTGGGGACAGCTACCGAAAGAAAAAAAAGCAGAACAGTCACTAGAATAACAGAACCTCTGAACTCAGCAACTGAAATTCCCAATTACAGATGTGCTGCTGTTTCTCCTGCCTCATCACAGCTGCTTTGCTTGATCACTCCCCCAGCCCCAGTGGGACAAGCAGTGTGAGGATGTGATGCCACATGTGCTCCGACAGCCAAATCAAAGGCCCAGCCAAGCTTGTGTCTCAGCCACGAATCTGGAAGAAATCAGAGATCCTCATTAAAGTTTCAGAAAAACCTAACTGGTATGAGGACAGCATTCAAAAATGTATTTGGGGGAAAACAAATATTGTTTTAACTCTATTAATAATTGATGTGTTGCCAGCAGAGATCCTCCTAGCATTAAGGGAATTGAAAATTAAAGGCACAAAGACACTACTTTAAGAAAACATCTTGATAAATAATTAATATGGCATAGGCCTACTGGAATATGAAGACTGTAGGTTTTAGCTTGTCTTGTCAAACCTATGCTTTCTAATACCACAGTTTCTTTCAGAGTGAGAGCATGGTCATTTTTGGTTTAAATCAACAAAAGCTTGAGTTGTTTATGTTGCTTAACTGGAATAATTCACTGGTTTCTGTCAGTGGCTTGTGCTGAGTCCTTGGGATCCTAGAGCAGCACATACTCAAAGGGCATGTCTTTCTTAAATCAAGATGAACAACAAATTACTGATTATTTAGAAAACAGAAGAGACTATGCCTGTTTCAGGAAAACTACTGCTTGTCAGGGTCAAACTAGATCAGAATAAGAAAGCCTGCTGGAAGAAGAAACTCTGGCAATACCTGTTTAGCAATACTATTTATAAATAGCTGGGAGAGATGCCTTGGGATGTGTAACCCCCAGGAACAGCTACTGCTTTAGTTTGTGTGTCACTAGAAATATGAATTTTCAATGGTGAGGCCAATCTTGGGGACCAAACTGAAAAACCCAGTGGCTGGCACTTCCCTTGTGCATTCTAGTTTGTGGGGATCTTAAGGATAGGAAATTGTGCAGCCCAGCATTCCACAGAATACAAGCCTATCAGTATGACCAAAGAAAGGCTGGACACAGACTGTGCTGAGGGAAGTAAATATGGAATTTCTGCATTTCCCTCCAAAGCAGTTCTAGCACTGCTGTGAGCAGAGCCTGCGGGAGCAGCGTTCGGAGACACGGCTGAAGGGTTTGGCTTGGTGGACAGAACCTGACAGAGAGAGACATTGCAAAGCAGAATACTGAGCACCATGTTAACTAACAGAGCTGCTGCCACCTCTGAAAGCCTCTGTCTTGCTGAAGGGTCTGCGGGCTCTTTAAACTTCCAATTTATTCCAGTCCATTCCTATCCTTTAGGCTGTTATAATGAAGCAGCTAGTAAGTCAGGCATAATTTCTGGCAGGCTTTTGAATTTAAGAAACTGCACAAGAGCATCCAGAGGACTATATTTATCATTTAATTCCTTTAAATAAAGCAAAAGTGAATACTGCTTCTTCATTAGAAGAACTTTAGTTCAGTACTTTAATGCAAAAGGTTTGTTGAGATTGATGGAATTCATAAACACCCTTTATTTACTACAGCAAAGTTAATAATTAAGAAGAAGAGAGAATATACATGAATGCATGAATGCTGTTGTAAAAATAATTCCTGCCTTAGTTCCAAGGAAAAAGCCCATGTAAATTGGTGATTGAGAACATAAGGGTGTTCCACTAGAACTATAAAGGGGAGTTTTTTCCATTCTTGATAAGGTAATTGTGGTGGTGAGGCACTGGCAAGTGCAAATTACCCAGACTGCAGCCGGGTGTGTTCTCTCTTGGGTGGGTGTCCCTTTTACCGTTCCCGGTGCACCGACAGCACCCGCAGCACCTGCCCCGTACCCAGCGGGAGCTCTCCTTCCTGCCACTGCCACGGCCGCCAGCAGCACTCAGGCCCTTGTTGAAACTGGAGTGTAAAGCTCGTGGACTGGCAGTGCTGGGAGGGCTGGGCCTGACATGCCTGGAAAATTGCCTCTTGCCTGCAGTGATTCCCCTGAAAGAGAGTCCAGTTGGTGTAAGTATGGTTAGTTGCTCTATGGCTGCTGGGCAGGGTGGGTGCAAGTGCTGTGCAGGGCAGCCCCAGGAGCTCCTCAGCGTGAGTGCCACGAAGGCCAGAACTGCTGTCCTGCAGGGAATGGACACCTGCAAGGCTGTGTCTTCCCACAGCTGTCCTCCCATCCTGCTGCAGCTGCTGCAGCCGCTCCTCGGTTTTTCGATGAGTCTTTGCCTATGGCTCTCTGTCCCTCTGCTGCCAGAGCTGCCTTGCTCTGCCCTGCCTTCCTCCCACTATCCCTGCCCTGCCTGCTGACTGCCCCGCCTTCCACCATTGCTTCTGCTGCATCTTTCTCTCCTGATGTAGGGAGAGCATTTCCCATCCTGCTGCTGGCTGGTGGGGATGTGTCCGTGCCTGCCAAACAGCCCTATTGTTGGTTAAAGATGCTGACTCTGGGAGTCCCATCCTCATCAGGCAAAGCTGAGAGTCTGTCTGATTTAACAAGGCAGGGAAACAAGCCAGTTATCTGAATCTGAAGCATATTCTCGAAGTGATTAGCTGCCTAAACTTACTCTGTAATTATCTCTGCTGAGTGGTTTCTGCACATCATTGCCCATTTTTCTGACTGTTTTTATTTAAGTTGATAATGGAAAATGAATAAAGCCTTAGTTCCACTCTGATTTTGACACTTGTGCCAGAAAATATCTGAAGATGAATATTTCTGTGTTCACAATAGTTAGATTAATATTTAATTTTTTGGCATCCACCAAGCTGATTAGTTTTCCTCTGATATGGCTCCACTTTGTAATTACAGGAACCGGCTCCTCCTGGGGAGGAGAGTGCCTGGGGTAAGAAGCTCGGAGATCATCCTGACGTCACTGCAACCATGATTTCACCAGGCTCGTGCACTGTGAGGTTATTGCGATCTGAAATCTCTGCTGCTGGAAAGAGGTACAGGTATATGTGACCTGCTCCATATCTTCTGAGGACAGACAAGATATGCCCTTGATTGCGTTTATACTGAAGGGAATAGAGTGGAAACAAAGTGCAGCTGTGTTGTCTCAAGGAATTTCTGATCCTTGCCTGCCGCAGCAGGCCAAGCCTTCCTTAAGGGACACAGCCCACCTGGTGCTGCAAGTGTAGAGGACATACCACAGCACTGTAGGGGGACAGACAGAGCTAACCGAGACACAGGGACCCCCCTGGCCAGGGATCCTCTGCTGAGCCTGGGGAGTACCACTGGTGGGGGCTGGTGGTGACAAGCCATGGAAGGAGTTCCAGCACCACCGTGGAAGCAATCCGAGAGAAAGCTTGGTGAGACATGGGGGGCCGGCTGACTTGGGGCCTCTCTTTGTCCTCAGCCATTAGCAGGTGTTTGTGAAAAGCCTGTAGAAGACAGGGTGATGATTACTTGAGATCATGATTGCAGTCCTTCTGGAGCAGTGGTCGTATCTGTCCACTGCACTGAACTAGCAGGTGGGGGTTGTGCTCAAGGAGTGACTCTGGAGCCTATTGAAACCCCTGAGTACATCTGAACTCCACAGCATTCCAGGTAAAGAGCCACATGTGATTCAGGGGTCACACTGCCCTTCTTCTGTCAGCCTGATAGCAAATAATTTCCCTGGCACCTCATGATTCCTATGCTATGAAAACGAGCTAGTGCACATTTGGTGTGTGCTGAGAATGCCTCTGGCTGGGGACAGTCCCACTTTCCTCACTGTATTGTTAGGCGAGTTGTCCACCCGTGTTTGGCTGGACCCTCTGGGGGTGGGCAGGGGGGGTCAGCCTACACTTGGGGATGCAGAGGCAATAGGCAAACTCACATCCTTTGTTTCTAGGACCACCCAATGCTTCCTTCACAAATGGGACTACCACCTGTGGCTCAGTCCTCCCACAGATTGAGCCTTCCCTATTTGCTCAGAGAGCAGCTATCACTCAGAATCAAATGCAGCCTTTAGAATTAACCCATCTGTAAAGGCCAATGAGTCTAGATTCCCCTGACCAGCCATGCACTGCAACATCTCATCTCAGTGCCATATTTATCTTGCACTGTCAGTTTTACCTAGCTCCTAAGCACTCAGGAACAGCAGTACTGTCAGGGTGTTGTTATTCATTTGTTTTCACCCACTTGAAGTATGTATCATTGTCATAATCTGGCACTTTGCACTGGGAACAAACTCCCTGTGTGGACAGGGATCAGGGCCATTTTTCAAATGCTGCTGACTGTTAATTTGTACACTGTTTGAAGGGAAAAGATCTTGTTAGAGCTCCATTGTACACATTACTTCATCAGGGCATAGTAGGCAGTTGTCTCCAATAGCCAGGTGCCAGGTGCCAGGGTGCTGGTGACAGGGGTGCAGTGCGTAACCTCCATGGGCAGCATGTGCCCAGCTCTGCGTGCACAGTTCTCATTTGTGCACCCGAAGCTGATCAGGTGAACCTCATCCAAATCCATTTGTTCAGCAGATATAGTATAATAGCTGCTGGCTGCTCAGCCTCCATCCCATATCACCATCCTCCAGAACTGTGTTAAAACCTGATCATTGGGAAGTTCAGGTGTTTTGTTTAGCTGCAGTACGCTCCCAGCTGGGTGAGAAAAGGGATGGCAGATACTGCAGAGCTCACAGTTCAAACACCAGCTCCCACAAGCTGTGTGTCCTGTTTGCTTCCAGACCAAAGAAGCAAGTGGAACGGCTGCTGGTGCTGGGCTGTCCCGAGCTGTGGTGGGTCCCTGGACTTCCTTCACAAAAGGCAGGAAAATAAAAAAGGAAAATTAATCTACCAAGGGCAAATGAATCAAACCAGCAACGCCTGCTACAGCTCATGGCCTGCTTAAACACTAGAACATTTGTTGCAACCATTTAGTGACCCGTGCTCTTCTCAGATTCATCTTATGAAATGGAAAAAGCAATTTGTCTGCCCACGTGCCCTGAAGTACTGATATTTGTTAAATCCACTGCTTTGAAAGCCCTATATTTGAACTACTGGATATGCAGAGAAGAAAGCAAATAAAGCTGGCTGTGATATGTGCGTTTCGTCTGGGTAATATTCCGATAAGGCCTGATTTATTACCGTTATGTCTTAAGGCCAGGCAAATCTCATGGGGTCAGTCATAAAGTATGAGGCAGGAGAAAGAGAGCTTGAGAAAGTAGAGGCAGAGATCCTCTTTGCCTCTGGAGGTCTCTGAGTGTGTCCTTTCCAGGGTTTCTAGTTCAGGCTGTGCTTTCTGGTTCACCATCTGTCTGGTACTTCAGCTGCCTCTCTGTCCTGGTGCCAGGCTCCTGCACACTGCCCTCAGCATGGCTGCAGGGAGCCCTGCTGGCTTGGCTCTGGGGTGTCAGCGTGGTGCCCACACCTGCCTGGGGTGCCCACAGCACTCTCCCTTGTGCTGTGTTCTCCTTTGCAGAATCTGATCTTCCTCATCTGAAAAATGATTACAGTAAGAAAGTGCAAGCTGAAACCAAGTTATAAATGACAGGAGCAATGCAAGTATCACCAGTGAACTGGGATAAATAATAAAAGAAGACAAACACAAGGCACACAGAGAGTATTTAAAACCACGATACCTTGGGATATTTCTAAATGAAAAAAAAAAGATTTCACACTGAAATTGCAAAATTACACATATCAGTTTGTTAATTCTGCCCAAACTAGCAGTACCTAAAGAACTGTAACATTATCTGCTAACTTCAGGGAGTCTTGGCAGGTGAGCAGAGCAGCAGAGCTGTGGTGGGCTCTGTGGGATGGCAGGTCGGGAGGGGGCCCTGCACCTCTGTCCAGTGCCCTGGGCAGGCACAGGAGCTCCCAGCACTGTGCAGGTCAGCAGCTGTCCTGTCACGTTACTCCTTCGTGTTCTGAAGTAGGGGAAGAAACTGAAGCACATGAGGATCAGAATCTCTGTGGTGTCCAGCACCTTTCATGGGGAACTTGGAGTGAGATCACAGAAATCGTCCAGAAGATTGTTTCATTTTTAACAATCTAGGATTATAGTTTGTCTGTTTAATTCAACCTGAGTGACATAATAGCTTTCATTTGGACTTATTACCAGCAGAGCAGTCAGTCAGCTGGAAGCAGACCTAGGGCAGGGCATTTTGTCATTATTTTAAATTTTCTCTCTCTGACAAAATTGAAGGTCTTGAAAAGACTGGAGCCATTGTAAAGGATAGAACATCAGAGAATAGGTCACACAGTGTGTTAAAGAATGAAAATTGATTCATTCTTTCCTCTGTTGAATAAGCAACTGTACTTTGGTCCCTGTGATCCATGAAATAAGCTGTCAGAGAAACAGGAAATGTGCCACATTTGAACTTCACTCATTGATTCCGTTCTGATCTGAGGTGCAATATTAAAATGCATTATGGTGGGTGCAGAATCTGCAGCAGTGACAGCAGCTAGGCCCAGCTTGCTCACCAGTTATTTGGGCTATTTGTAATTAAATTAATCAGTGCTTTACAATGTTGGGACTCATTTACTTAGGTCATGTGGTCAGAGCCAGCTGACAGGAGGAATTTCACAAAAGCAACATTTATTAGACTGTAGAAGAGGCTCATGGTTTTATCATTTTATTCCCTTTAATATGGAGAAACAATTTGCAGGCAATTCAGAAATTCTGACAGCAATCAATTTAAGAATGGGAGAATGGGTAGCAGAAAATTCTGGAATTTGGAATTACTAGCTGGAGCATGTTAGGCCAGTTAATGCCTGCAACTCTAATAGATAGCCTAGTGTTTAAGTAGCATCCAGAGGACTGTCTGCAACTACGATTTGCTATGTTAAGTCTGTTTTATTCATGCTGAAGTGTCTTTTGCTTCTTTGGTGAGTTCTTAAAAGTTTTATTAACTAAAACATCATTTTTGCTGCCTTTGCTTTATTTGCCTCAAAATTGTGATTCATAAAGATGGATTTTTATAATTAAGGTAGAAATGAGAAATAACCCCCTATATATAATTTAAAAATGTTGAAATTACAGACACTATCTAACTTCTGCTTTAAATCACAGGAACAAACTGTTCTCCATTAGCAGCCCTAATTAAATCCATTTTTCTGTGAGTCTTTGGCAAATTCCATTTTAGTAAAGCTGTATTAAACTCTCTTTTATTTCCTCTTGCTTTGCAGAATTCTCTGTTTGAGATGAATAATGGGTTGAACATGGTATATGACAGCTCTGTAGACTCCAAAGATATAACATGAACAAATATATTGTTCTGGAGAGCTGGCATGAGAACGCTGCTGAGGATTTAGAAGCATTCCAACTACCAGACAGGCAGGAGCAGGACCATCCTGGCCTGGGGAGTTTATATGTGATGCAAGAATGGGCAAACATTGTGTAGCACAGAGGCTGTGGAATGGTGGAGGAGGCTTGGAGAAGGGAAGGAGAGGGAGTGGGCTAAAGCAGGGAGCGTGCTGTTTGCTGTTGGCACAGCACATTGGGGTGTTGCACTCCTGAGCTCTGAGGTACCATCATCTGTGCCCTGCTGGTGTTTCCTAGGCCTTGGGTGAGGAATGAGCAGTTGCAGAGGAGTGGAGAGAACTTCCAGAGGTTAATCAGTGCTGCTTTTCCTCAGTCCATGCCATCATATGGAGATGTGCTTTCCATAAGACTGTGCATTGGCCTGTAGCATCTGTCTGGGTCGTTGTGTTGAACCTGTCTAGCTGGAACCATGCTCTTGCTGACCTCAGACCTGTTTCTGCACGTAGATCAGAACCTGGCCTGGGTCAGTGCTCCTGTGCACCAACAGCTTTGTTAGGGTGATTCTGCCTGGAGACTTGACTGAGGAAGCAGTGCACAGACCAGAGAACCCACCTGAAACAGCTGCTCATTTTGCAGTCCCCGTGCATGAAGATTAACGTACTCCCAAAAACCTGCCCCAGTCCCAGAGCAACAGGCTCTGTCCTGTCCTCCGGCACCTCCATCACTCATTTACTGCAACAATTGGCTTCAGCCTTCGATT